GATGTCGCTCATGTAAAAATGCTGAATGTTGGAAGTATAATTGGAATGTACAGAATATCAGTTCTGTATCCGCTTGTTAAGTGTGACGTCACACAAAATAGCTTCTGGGTCCAAGCGAATATCAAACTGTATGGGGAGATTCATCAAATGGTAATAATAAACATTTATAAAGCACTGTAATACTTTCGAAAATCACAAATGCAATATATACATCCATGCCTAATTTCAGATGGCCAGAAAGTGATCATTTTTAATAATTTGTAAAAATATTGGTAATTGCAATGCAGCAAGTCCAGAACCTGTTGTGTACGCCATGATTTTGTATAAAATTCACTTCAATGTGTGCAATGACTAAAAAGTGGTCATAAATGACTATTTTCTCAATTCAAATGAGAAGCGACTTGGACCTGGAAACAGTATTTTATATGTCATCGATACGTCACAACTTAATAATCGGATTAGTCATTGGTTTTTGTTATTGACTTTTAAATGTAGAGGTATTGGTCTTGACTAATTTCTATATTTATTCTAACTTTTAATTCTCTTTTGAAATTGATCTTTTAAACGTAAACAATTAAACTTAATTACAGCATGATCTTTACACAAATTGAAAATAACATAATTTTTTATGCTCTGCTGTTTATTATAATGTTGCGATGCATTCATTTACTTTACCTAAAATCATTACATATTTACAGTAATCCCTCTACTTCTGCTTAGTCCCATTATATATTTATTTTACATTTATTAATATATTGTCAATTTATAGATCATCATAACTCCCTCCCCATCCCCCCAAATTACTAAATTCATATGCAGATGTTTCATAGTAAATAAAGTTGAAATGGTCAGTGATATGTTGTGTTAATATTATGATCATTTACAAAGGATAGATTATACATATGCATTACAAAAAGCTGCAAATAAATTTGCAAACAGTTTAGCCTATTCAAATTACTAGCCAAAGAAATTGAATCAAGTTATCAAATCTCATTAACCTTTTCATCACTGTATAATTTAAAGATTCCGATTAAAGAGCAGTGAATGAATCTCTCGTTTCGATTTTTCATTTGATTACATTCCATAACAGAGGTGTCACTTTAAAAATCCAAAGATCTATAATAAAAACGTTTGAATGCTTTCCTAACTTTCTATGCTCATTTAAGACAAAATTAGTTGTTTAAAAGAAAACCCACCAAGTTCAACAGGTTTAGATGTAATTATTGCAGTTATTATTATCAATATTATTATTATTATTGTGTATATGTCTGTTCGAAAAGTCCAGTGTCGACTTTCGCTCTGCTTAAAATCGTGTGTACAGATTCTGTTTGGGAAACAGCATCTATTTATCACTATGTAGCGCATCTGACAGTCACGCACCACTACATGAACGGGCTGTTTTGAGAATTGCATAGGAGGTGCAACTGTGCCTGTAATGGAAACGAAAGGAATTCTTCTGTTTTTATATTTGTTTCAAAGTGTTTTCATGCCTCAATGAAATGAAAGCAAAGAACAGATTCACATTTAAGAGCAAGGGGCATCCCCTGGTGGTTCGGCGCTATAGGTTGCATATCGGTAATTTAATGTTTATTGCCACCCTTCATAGAAAGATTGAAAACACAGGAAAAATGGGAAAATACCTTTACGAGATGAAAGTGGGATAGAATTGTAAAAAACAGAAGAATCCCTGGAAAACAGGAGGGTTGACAGGTATGTAGATTATCATATGCAGAAATGAAAGTAACATATATAATACAATTATGGATTATGATTTTAGCATTTGTATGTAAATATTTGCATATATATGATGACCATTAATTGTGTGCAACCTTTTTTGAGTGAGGGTTGTGTTTAAAAGTATGTTGAGGGTTTGATGAAAAATAACATTATCTCAGTATATACATTAGGTTAATAATTGTGTATTAACCTACATGTGTATGTGCATGAAAGAGAGAAAGAGAGAGAGTGCAAATATATCATTTTGGTTCAGTTTATACCAAAAACAAAAACAGCCTGTTTAAAATTCCTACTGTAAGACAGAAACCACTGGCAGACAATAGTTGTTCCACAAACATTTCTCAACTCTTATTAAACGCTCACCAGTTGCTCGGTTGTCAATAACCCCTCTCGAGAGCCTGCCAGTCATCTTCCCTATGGAACCGATTGAAAACGCCCTCTCAGCTCCACACCAGTGGACACGTATGGCTCTGTTTCACTCAGAGGTACAAAAATCGAACCTCTCCAAAACGGCAAACCCCATGATGCAAGACCATCACAAAGACACGTTCTAATAAAAGAGATATTGAACAGGCCGCGGTGCCGTTATAAAAACATTAGGGTGATAAAAGCAAGGGCTCGGTGGTTGGATAAAAGTAGCAAAGTATAAATCATTGCTTTATGAGACGCGCCAGATTCCTTGGCACTGGCGGGGATTAGGGGATGATGGGTTGTTTTCCACTGTGGTCATCCGTCTGTGAGCTGGTTATTGTAGGCTGAGCGGGATTCTCCGTTGTTGCTATTGTCAGGGCGATAACTCACTCATGATCTGACTCTTAAATGCTGGAAGTGACTCAGACTCCTTGTCTTCTATGGCTTAGACTTCTTGTCACCCTGACAGACAAAAAAGAATATATTGGGTTTTGCCAATTTGATCAGCTCATTTTTTTCCACAGCTTGGTAATGCTACTGTGAAGATGAGCACCCAGTAGAGGAACAGTGGTATTATCTTTTAATGGTTTTCTACCTCTAAACAGTATCTTGTTGTCCATTATTCCATTGTTTTGCTGCCACATCTCTAGTCCTCTTTGCCCTTGGCAAGGCTCAAGTTCAACTCCCCGGCATTTTTAAGCAAAACATCTCTATGTATTTGGGTTACAGTGTAATTTTAGGCCTGTGCAATAAATACTGTATTGCTTCAGGATTGACTTTGCAATGTGTGCTCCTGCAATAGTCATATCAAATGATGTGAACAGGCAGAACAGTTAGAAATTCAGATAACACTTTAGTTTAAGTAACAATTCACACTGGATTACTATGATTATTACCTGTCTATTTTTAGGATATTAACTGTTTATTAGCACTTATAAAGTATGATCTTATTCAACATTCCTAATCCTTCCCAATACCTAACTATTAAAAAGTAGCTTTTTAGTACTTTATTGATCTAAAAGTTTTAGTTAACGCACTGTTAATGGTTTGTAAATAGTGTGAATTGCATATTAAAATAAAGTATGACCAACGTGGAAGTGTTTTGTAGATTAATGGCAAAGTTTAATAGCAGGTTGTCAATTGCATGTTGTTTTTATGGGATCGTTTACCCTAAAATGAAAATCTACTCACTGTTTACTCATCCTCACTTGGCCTCGAACCTATATGAGTTTTCTTTTTCTGTTAAACACAAAATATACTTTAAAGAATGTAAGTCAATGGTTACTAATTTCCAATTTTTAGACTCTTTAGTGTTCAACTGAAAAAAAGAAAGTCAAACAGGTTTGTGACAAGTGAAGGATAAGAAAGCGATGACACAATTGTCAGTTTTGGGTGTACTATCTCTTCAAGAGCTGTTTCTGTGCAAATAAAGTGAGTTTAAAGCATTCAGGCAGGCAAAAAGAAACAATACATTTTTAGCTTTGACAAAAATTAACTATATTTAATTTATACAACGAGGACCACGCAGTGTGATTTTACACTTAATTATTCAATTTCTTATCTAAATCTGCTGAAAAATAACATAAAGCATTGCACTGTTTATTTCTTTTAAACCTTTGTTCTATTTGTATTTACCCATGCTTGTAATTTGTGTATTTTCTGCAGATGTACTCCACAAAATCACTCCAATCAATCTGAAATGATGAATTCTTTTCAAATAGAGCTTTTCAAGTCATCTAGTGAAATTTACATATACAGTTGAAGTCAGAATTATTAGTCTTCCTGAAATATTAGCCCCCCTATATATTTTTTCCCCATGGAAAGAAGATTTTTCTGACACATTTTTAAACATAATATTTTTAATAATTCATTTCTAAAAACTGGTTACTTTTATCTTTGCCATGATGACTGTACATACTATTATACTAGATATTTTTCGATTAACTAGTTTAATTAGTTTATGGGGCAAGTAAGGGTAATTAGGCAAATCATTGTATAACAGTGGTTTGTTCTGTAGACTATTCAAAAAACAGTGCTTTAAGGGGCAAATAATATTGAACTTAAATTGGTGTTATAAAACTAAATGTGCTTTTATTCTAGCTAAAATAAAACAAATATGACTTTCTCCAGAAGAAAAAATATATATATAATAGGAAATACTGTAAAAAATCCTTGCTCTGTTCAACATAATTTGGGGAGGGCTATTATTTAGACCTTCACTGTATTTATCGGAGGGGAAAAAAAACACTATGTCAGTTTTTTTTTTTTTTTTTTTTGCTTGAACTGCATGTCAAGATTTGCAAAAGGGTTAGGGCAGGGGTCACCAACCTTTTGGAAACTGAGAGCTACTTCTTGGGTATCGTTTAATGTGAAGGGCTACCAGTTTGATACACACTTCCTAATAACAAACTTGCTCAATTATTATTAATAATTAATGATATTCATCTTTGTGAAGACACTGATCATGTTAATGATTTCTCACAATAGTTGTCAACAATGATTGGAAACAAATAAATATCAATATGCAACACATAATTTGTCTGAAATTGTTTTTAAAGTTTTTTAAATGTATAACTTAATGTCATTTTCAATTTTACACCAATGCAAGTGTGATTTAAAAAGAATAGCTACAAAAAATATTAGATGCAGCTTACTGGTATGTGGTGCTATGATAAGCTAATTTTATAACAGGCCCACGGGCAACTCATGTAATCCTCGCAGGCTATGTTGGTGACCCCTGGGTTGGGGTTACAGTTTTAGGAATTCTTAGATTTCCATAATGCTTTCTCATTTGAAGCACACATAACAAATTCACATTTTACATAGCATCTCTTCTTGTTTTCTCCCTACAGGGCCACCATCAGCTCCTCAGAATCTGCTTTATAATATCAACCACACAACCGTCAGCCTGGAGTGGACCCCACCAGCCGACACAGGCGGGCGAAACGACGTGACATACCGGATTATATGCCGCCGCTGCACTTGGGAGCCCGAGGAGTGCTTTCCTTGCGGGAGCAACGTTGGCTACTCACCGCAGCAGAGTGGATTAACGGACACCTACGTCACCATCACCGACCTGTTGGCTCACGCAAACTACACCTTCGAGGTCGAGGCTGTGAACGGCGTGTCTGACCTCAGCCGAACCCAACGCCTATTTGCAGCCGTCAGCATCGCAACCAGCCAAGCAGGTAAGACTTCAATTGGTTATTTGATGGCACAACCAAATCTGCATTTTAAATATGAATTCTGTCGGATAGGTAGAATGGATGTGGGTTTATTTTGTTATTGTTGCTGGATTGTTTCGACACTCTACTTGAGTCTGTATCATTTCCAACATGCTGTATTTACTGCCTTTGGGATGATTTAACAAATTATCTGGCAGCCATTTTCCTGCAGTTCATAATTTGTGGTTTGGAGGCAGCGATACTGCGGTGAACAGCAACAGATGATAAATAATAGAAGTCACGCACAAGAATACCTCTCTCGTTTCCCCTTTTGGTTTGTATTGTCTGCCAGAAGAGCCGCCACCTTTAAATATCACTTACAGTCGCCATGGTTGACATTTCCACAAGACTCTTTGTTGAATTCATGATAAATGATATGAGCTTTCACTTTATCCCCTGAAATTAAATGGGTGGCAAATGCTTGCGTTGGTGCTGAAGTCATGGCCGCAAACATTATTAGCTCGACGAGTGGTTGCCTGTCTTTGGCTCTGTTTCTCTCACGCTCTCTCCTTCTCCCGGGAGTTGGCCATAATTTAAGAGCTGTTTCCGAGACTGCACATGCTAGAGAAATGCATGTTTTATAATGAACTTTTTTTTTTTAAATGGATCTGCAAAACAAGATTTCTTTTTCATGCCCAAGCATCCATGAAATACAATTTGCTTTTAGATGCATACTGGTTCTGGTCATTAACAAGAGGTTAGTAGACAGTGATAGCTTAGTGCCGTGCTTCAGAAGCTAAAGCGGAGACTGCAGTGTTGTTGTATGTGCAAACAAACACTCAAATATTCGTACATTTTTCGTAAGTGTTTTTTATGAGTTTCATGTCTGGAAAAGTGATCCCATCATATGTGATGTGTTAATCAATGCTAATCAATAACTAAAGACAGTATATATGCAGTATACTATATGTTTTGTAAATAAAGCATATACTGTACATAGTCTTTCATTATATATTTAATAATAAAAATAATCACCATCATCATAATGTAGACATGTTGATCAGGTTAATTTATAAATATTTTTTCTTTATATATGTACCATTTCTTTAAATATAAACCTTGTTATATACTGTAAACTCGCAGACGTTTTTGTTCACATCCACATCCAACAGATGTTTTGATATAATGTTAGCATATACTTTTTATGTGAATTTATAATTTGAGATTTTACTGAAAATGTCACATCCATAATGCTAGAATTGCTAAACCTAAGTGTTATAAGTTATAAAACTTATAAAGTTTAAAAGTTATAAGTAATAAAAGTTATAAACTACAGTTATAAAACAGTTATTATATAGTGCAATAACATTTCACAATTTTACATTTCGTTCTTTATTTTTCATGAAATAAATGCAGCCTTGGTCAGCAGAAGTTTATTTTAAAACATTTAAAAATCTTACTAAAACACTTTAAAAAATAATTATAAAAAAAAAGTTGGTGCTAGTAGCCTAGTGGTACTGCGCGCTGATATATAACACCGACGTGCTCATGGTGACCCAAGTTCGATCCCTGGCTTGAGGTCCTTGCTGATTCTTCCCCTCTCTCTGCTCCCAATGCTTTCCTGTCTGAATTATCAAAGTAAAGGTGAAAAACCCTTAATGAAATAATTATAAAAATCTTACTGACACCAAACTTTTGACCGGTGAAATGTATATATATATATATATATATATATATATATATATATATATATATATATGCATACATAATACATTTAAAATCTGAATTCATAACCCCCCTAAAAATTTCACAGTTAGTCTTATAATATTTGTTTCTTCTGAAGAAAATCTCTTAAAAGCTTTTAATTAAAAAAATAAAAGAAAAGAAATTGAGTTCGAAATTTAAAGCCCCTTTAAGCTATGTTTTTTGATTGTCTACAGAACAAACCATCGGTATACAATAACTTGCCTACCTACCCTAACCTGCCTAGTTAACCTAATTAACCTAGCTTAACCTGTATCTAGAATATCTATAAATATCTATTAAAATATTATTTACTGTCATCATGGCAAAGATAAAATAAATCAGTTATTAGAAATGAGTTATTAAAACTATTATGTTTAGAAATGTGTTGAAGAAATCTCTCTGTTAAACATATTTTGGGGAAAAAAAATAAACAGGGGGCTAATACTTTAGGGGGTTTAATAATTCTATTACGGATAGGGAGAATCAACTGTATAAATTTTTATTGGAGAAGTTTATTTTTTAATTAGAATTGTTCTCTCATTTTATACATTATCAAAGTAACTATATATTTTTTTATTGAGATACTAAGTGACTCTTTAAAACAGACCTTTTTGTCTACTGCATTGTGCCTCGAAACTCCTGCTTCCTGCTCCATTATGTTGCACTCAGTTTAGCTGTTTTTGAATACCTGAACATGTTTTATGTAAACATCGCCTAAGAAATGCAAAAAAAGTTATTTCATGTAGACCAATTAGTCATCGGGCCATTCAGGAAAACTCACAGACTCGTTGGTTCTGACAGTGTGCAGTTTTTGTTCATCCCTGGTGTTTTCCCACCTGCATTCAAAACTCGAGCTCTCATTTGCATTCTTGTTGTTTTTATGGTTGCCAAACAAAACAAGGTCAGTGACAGGATAATACGAGCTCACGCATGCACATGTTCACAGAGAGATGAGGAAAGACACACAGAGGGAGAGGCGATAATGACCAGCGGCCAGTAAAATGAGGGAGGGGAGAGAGGATGATGTATGTTTCATGACAGGGATCGTGACAGAGACACTCGCTGGAGTAAGGAGCCACAAGGACACGCGGACACCTTGGTAGGTTAGAGAGAGAGAGGAATGAGAGATAAGGGACAGAGAGAGAGCGAGGGAAAAGACCCTTGTCTCGAAGTGAGAGTCGTGCGTAATTATGTCTGGCATACTGACAACAGACAATTACACCAGCCACCCTGGGCAATATTTAGTCATTAGTTATTGTCAGATTGAGAAAATATATTAGTAAAGCCCTGTTTTCTGTAGTGGCACTATTACCGGTTTCATTTTTCTTGTCTTTTAAGAATAAAAGAGTAGGTCACTGAGATAAAAAAATAAATAAAATTGAGAGCAGAACAAAAAAATAAATAAAAACAATTGCCACATTTTACAATATCATGTTTAATGTTTGTTAATATATTTACTAACATGAACTAAAAACGAACAATACTTGTAGAGCATTTATTAATCGTAGTTGAACATTTACTAATGCAGTATTAACGTATAAAGTGTTTAACATTATGCACTGTTAACAAGAACTAGCAATGAACAACTTAATTTTTTTTATTACCTTTAACAAAGTTGAATGAATACTGTAGTAAATGTGTTGCATATTGTTTGTTCATGTTTGAAAGTACACGAACTAAAATTAACTAAACTTTACTTGAATATTATTATAAAGCAAAATATTTGAGTGGTAATTGATTCTAGCTTCCACGATCAACAGTCTAGTCATTTAGTTACAGTAGGTTGACTACTTTTAAATTTTGGATTTTCAACTACAAAATTAAAACACATTATATACTTTTAAAATATTTTAAATACATTTTTAAACATATAAATTTATCTTCTATAATGTACATATGCCTGAAAATAAATGTTTATTTTTTTCCCCAATTTCTGTTTATAGGAGAGATTTCTTCAACACATTTCTAATCTTAATAGTTTTAATAACTCATTTCTAATAACTGATTTATTTTATCTTTGCCATGATGACAGTAAATAATATTTTACTAGATATTTTTCACAACACTTTTTGACAGCATTAAGTGAAATTTAAAGACTTACCTAGGTTAGTTAGGTTAACTAGGTAGGTTAGGGTAATTAGGCAAGTTGTTGTATAACAATGGTTTATTCTTTAGACTATCGAAAAAATGTATAGCATAAAGGGGCTAATAATGATCTTAAAATGTCTAAAAAAAATAATAAAAACTGCTTTTTTCTTGTCAAAAAACAAACAACAAGACTTTCTCCAGATTCAAAAAAAATATTATCAGACATTACTGTGAAAGTTTCCCTGCTCTGGCAAATATAATTTGTCAAATATTTAATAAAGAAAAATAATCAAAGGGGGTTCTGATTTCAACTGTATATATGATTAAAGTTCCCAAAATTAATCTTCTGTCATACTCTGCTCACCCTTATGCTGTTAAAAATCATTAAGACATTTGTTTATATTTAAAACACAAATAAAACTCTAAATATAAAAATCTATATTGAAATCTGATAGATTTTTGTATCCCAGAAAATCTACTCACCAAAAACAAAAGCAAAATAAATAAATAAATAAATAAATAAATAAAAAAGTAATTATATGAAGAGTTTAAATGCAAAAACCTCTAAATGCCGTTTGATATTTTATTTTTAAAATGAGCATTTTTCTCTGACTCCTTTGTGTAGGCTCAGAAATGTAACTTTTATATTGACAAATAATTGTTTTAGCCTTTAAAGTGATATACTTGAACATAAACATGGGAGGCTGAGAAAAAGGCTCATTTTAGGAGAACATTTCAAATGGCATGATTTCGTATCTAAACTCTTCATATGTAATTATCGATCAAAAACATTGATCAGTAAACACAAAAAGACACTCAACCATACCAATTTGTCACAAACCTCATTGGTTTTTGTAGAAGTTCAAACTCATTGGTTCTTACAGACGCTCAAAGTGATGATTAGACATGCAAGAATCAACCTCATTGGTTCTCATGTGTTAAACAAGCATGCATTAGCTTATTATCAATCTGAATACTTTAAGTATTGTTAGCTAATTAAAAGATTAAAGTACACAATTAAGTTGCTCAATTTATATAAATGCATTCAAAAAATCTTTTTTATGAACATTTTGTTTTCCCAGAGATGGGTTTCAGCTGGAAGGGCATCCGCTGCGTAAAAACATGCTGGATAAGTTGGCGGTTCATTCCGCTGTGGCGACCCCGGATTAATAAAGGGACTAAGCCGGAAA